TAGGGTGTAGGGTGTAGGGAGCAGGGTGTAGGGATTAGGGTGTAGGGAGCAGGGTGTAGGGTGTAGGGAGCAGGGTGTAAGCAGTAGGGAGCTGTTTGGAACACACAGTATGAAATTGAGATGTTTACCTGCACTACGTACACTTCTTCTCTCCCACTGTACCAGATCTCAAACTTCTTCACATCTCCTTTAATGTTCTCAGTGACACCCACAGCACTCATCTGCAGAGCATCACACACACACACACTCAGGGTCAGAACACACACACACACTCAGGGTCAGAACACACACACACACTCAGGATCAGAACACACACACACACACAGATTCTAGATCTTAGATTAATGTTGCATTTCAGACCCAAAGCTCCGCCCCTGTGCTAGAGTTCCGTGTTAGAGCTCGGTGCTAGAGCTCCGTGTTAGAGCTCGGTGCTAGAGCTCGGTGCTAGAGTTCCGTGTTAGAGCTCGGTGTTAGAGTTCCGTGTTAGAGTTCCGTGTTAGAGCTCGGTGCTAGAGTTCCGTGTTAGAGTTCCGTGTTAGAGCTCGGTGCTAGAGCTCCGTGTTAGAGCTCGGTGCTAGAGCTCGGTGCTAGAGCTCGGTGCTAGAGTTCCGTGTTAGAGTTCCGTGTTAGAGCTCGGTGCTAGAGTTCCGTGTTAGAGTTCCGTGTTAGAGCTCGGTGCTAGAGTTCCGTGTTAGAGTTCCGTGTTAGAGTTCCGTGTTAGAGCTCCGTGTTAGAGCTCGGTGCTAGAGTTCCGTGTTAGAGCTCGGTGTTAGAGTTCCGTGTTAGAGCTCGGTGCTAGAGTTCCGTGTTAGAGTTCCGTGTTAGAGCTCGGTGCTAGAGTTCCGTGTTAGAGTTCCGTGTTAGAGTTCCGTGTTAGAGCTCCGTGTTAGAGCTCGGTGCTAGAGTTCCGTGTTAGAGTTCCGTGTTAGAGCTCCGTGTTAGAGCTCGGTGCTAGAGCTCGGTGCTAGAGCTCGGTGTTGGGTTTAGGGCCAAAGTTTTGCAGGTAAAATTTGGGACACAGCCATCATCAGAACTTTACAAAAGTTACTGTCGGTTTCTATTTGAAAAAAGTCTAAAAGACTGAGGGCACCAACACTGCAGGCTGACTGTGTGTGTGTGTGTGTTCTGACCCTGAGTGTGTGTGTGTGTGTGTGTGTGTTCTGACCCTGAGTGTGTGTGTGTGTGTGTTCTGACCCTGAGTGTGTGTGTGTGTGTGTGTGTGTTCT